TCAACCGAGCGCCCATATAGCTGCTCGTTGATGACTTTGGCCTCGTCATATTTTGGATTATACCCAGCGTGTTTTGATTGACCTGTGTTCCACGGATAATGGTTCACGAGCTCCACGAGGTTAACCCAACCATCATGATCATCGAAAGATTCCAGGCCCAACACAGGATTGTGTGGTCTGTCTGGCGCATGTCTGCATATCCTGCTGAGAGCTTTACTCAGCTGTTTGAGAATGTCATTTGATGTGGGAAGGATTCCAGCTTTCCTGCATTCCTTCATGAATGTCTCATCCACCGAGCGTATCGGTGGGATCTTCCGAAGCGCAAGTCTATCCCTGATCACATTCGGAGTCCCACTAGAGAAGGACGTGTCACCTGGGTGGTGCAGCTGATCCACTGGCGGGTTTCCCCGCATACGAGCCTCTGTCGCTGCAGAGGCTGCGGCTCCTGAAGAGGATGAAGCTGCGGCGGCAGCGCCTGGCGGGTTTCCCCGCGGTGATGCGCGACTGGCGCTGCCCCTGATCTTCGGCGCCCAGGTACCCCTCGACATAGCACCTTCATCGGACTTCCTGGAACGGGCCGCCACAGGCGAAGCTGGCGCAGGGGCATACCCACTGCGCTCGAAAGCTGCCGCCCTTTTCGCAATGGAGCTGCTGCGACTAGGCGGGCGTCTTCGTTCCTCCACAGGGTCCTGAGGTTGCTGCTTGGGCTCAGACGCTTGTGTAGGAGTGGCGCCAATCGGCGGCCTCGGAGTTTCAGTTCGAGGCGCCTCCATCTGCACGTCCGGCCCAGGGTCCTGAGAGCTCACCTTCGGTTTCGGCCCCGAGGACGGCTTAGGTGTCGGGGGTTCACTCTTAGCCTTCGAAGTTAGTGGGAGTGGGGGCTTCGTAGCCCCCTTCATGTAAATCTTGCTGGAATCCTCCAACATCTTGCGAGTTGCCTCGCGAGTGCGTTCTTCTGCTGTCCGCGTACGCTCCTCGTCCTCCGCCACGCGTTGAGCCTTTTTCTCATCCTTGATTGTCGGTTCTGGTTGTTGGGACTGGCTAGAAATGCCAGGCGAGTTTCCTCGCATACTAGGAAGACTAAAGAGCGCGTCTTTCTCTTCCTGGGTCGTGGCTACCAGTCCCGTTGGAACCGGAGTAGGCTTCTCTTCTTCTTTCAGATCCAAGTGGCTCAAGATCCCGGGACGACGATTCACTGCGGCGATCTCGTCTGGTGTCATCGGGATAAGTAGCGGATGACCATCTTTGTGAGGGGTTTTGCCCCGGTTGGGGCTCAGGCCTTCGTTGTTGCCAACGGGGCATCCTGGCCTGTGGTTCTGGAACGGCTCGGAACAAGGTCCGCAAGCTGCGTGAGGCCTATACTGCT